GAGGCGCCAGCATGGTTGGCGCCGAGTAGGGAAATTTTGAACATTTTGAGTCTCTAGATCGTTGGAAATAGCATTTTCAGAGTCTTCTTTTTTGCTATTTGTGATTATAGAAATCAAAAACTTTTATGACCCCCCACCCTTTCTCTGTGTTAAAACTTTTTTGACCCCCCTATTTATAAGGGTAAAACTTCGTTTGCCCCCCCCCCTCCCATTTCCCAACCCTCCCTCCCCATAAATAATGACCACTCCCTTAGTTTTAACAGTTGTACGATGACGTTTCTAGGCAGATTTTCAACGTTTCTAAGGCGTGGCTTCAACGTTTATTTTTAAAATTTGAACGTTGTAATTAAAAGCTAATTGCCAGATAGTATACTTCAAAATAAGGTTTCCGTTTTTATGTCAATTTTTTAAATAAGTTAGGGTTAGGTTAGTATTTAGTTTTGCGTTAGGATGGTTTTTTTCTACGTTATAAAAACGGAAACCTTATTTTGAAGTATATTATTTAGCAATTACCTTGTAATTACAACGTTCAAATTTTAAAAATAAATGTTGAAGCCACGCCTTAGAAACGTCGAAAATCTGCCTAGAAACGTCATCGTACAACTGTTAAAACTAACGCGACTACTATTTGCATTGAACGGTCTACCTGAATCCGCAGTAATGAAATTAAAAGTGCAAAAAGTCAATACTTTAAGGTTTAACCTTGAGGCTAATAAGAAAAATCCAAAATCAACCTGGAAACTTATTAACGACTTAAACTCTCGTAATGCTTCTAGCTACAAAAATATCCAATATCAAAGTGGGTGAAGAAACCATATATACACTCAAGCAAAGAGCGGAGACATTTAATTCTCACTTCGCTAGTGTGGGTGAAAATTTAGGATCCGATATACCACCCTCTACCATAGAACCTGACGTATATGTTGTGCCTACTGAAACCACATTTTCAATGAAGTCCCTCACTGTATATGCAGTTTACAAAAAATTAAAAGCAATTAACGAAAGGAAAGCAGCTATGGTCTTGATAAAATACCTTGCAAACTTTTAAGAATTTCAGCTGAAATAGTTGCCCCATCGTTAACTCAAATATTTAATAAGACCATACGTACAAGCATCTTTCCTACAGACTGGAAGCTAGCGAGAGTTACTCCAATTTTTAAGAAAGGTAAAAAAGACGACATGAACAACTAACGACCAATATCTGTTATTTCTGTAGTAGCAAATATTTTTGAAAAGTTTACTTTTGAGCAGTTGTATGAGTATCTGATCATGAACAACAACAATCTAATATCTGCGTCTCAATCTGGATTTCGATCATTGCACAGTACACTAACTACCCTAATAGAAGCCACGGATAATTGGTCAATAAATATAGATAAAGGCCTTCTTAATGGAGTAATTTTTATCGATCTTAAAAAAGCATTTGGTACTATTGATCACACTTTTCTTTTACGGAAGTTACGAATTTATGGCGTTGTTGAAAATGGTATCAAATTCTTCGAATCATACCTAAGCAACCGCAGTCAAAGATGTCGCGTCAATTGGTGAGTTATCTAAAACTGCTAAAATAACCTGTCGGATACCACAAGGCATTAAATTGCAACCTCTATTGTTCTTAATATACATAAATGATTTGCCTAATTGTCTGGACAGAGCCTCCAAGAATGTTTGCTGACGACACTAATATTAGCATCGCAGCAAATTCCGTCATGGAGCTTGAGCAAATAATAAACTACGAATTGAAAAATCTTCATCAGTGGCTACTAGCTAATAGATTGAGTCTTAACGTAGCTAAAACGGAATTCATGATGATAATAGGATCTCGTCAAAGATTACTAGTGTGATTACTAGTACATGATAACGAATATAGGATAGAAATCGACGGAAAGACTATTAAGAGAGCCAACGAAACGAAATCCTTAGGCTTGCAAATCGATGAGCATCTTACATGGGCACGACATGTCGAAAATATTTCCAAAAAGATTGCATCAGCTATTGGAGCTCTTAATTAAACGGATACGCCAATTTATAGATACAAACACTGCTCTGAAAATTTATGGAGCATTAATTGAACCGCACTTTGATTATAGTAGCTCAGTTTGGGATGGTTTGAATATCACGTTTAATGACAAATTGCAAAAATTGCAAAATAGGGCAGCGAGGGTCATCACTAAATCTCAATATGATGCTAGTTCCAGACACCTTTTTAGTAAGCTGGGCTGGGATAATCTTTTAACACGTCGGAAAAAGCATAAGGCTATACTAATGTTTAAAACAATAGCTGTTATCGTAATTGAACACGTCTATGCTACGGACCAGCGGTATAGCCTCGAGACGAGGCTATAGGGTCATGTTTTGTGTTTTTTTACCCTTTAGCCTCGTTTTCGTGCGTACTTCCACTGAGATACCGCTGGTATGCCGCAGCGGCGTATTCAATTACGATAACAGCTATTAACGATCTAACTCCGTTCTACCTCCATGAATTGTTTGAATCTCGCAGCACAGGATATAACTTAAGAACCTCTGAACACACCTTATTTGTACCAAAACCAAGAACGAACTACGGTAAGCGAAGTTTCAGTTATAGCGGGGCAGTTTTATGGAACGAGTTACCACAAAATATTCGAACAACATGCTCCCTAAGTCAATTCAAAAGAGCAATTGAAAATCTGTTCTCTATATGTAAATCAGTATTTTAGTGTTTGGATAAGTGTTAACCTGCGATCAGGCCTATAAATAAATAAATAAATAAATAAATAGGCCTGATACAAATCTTAACAAAAGTTCATGTTTTTACAACCGCATTTCGGTTGTAAATCTGATTGGTTTATGAGACAAAAGATTTTTTAATCTGTCATTTGATTGGTTGGTGCTAATTACATTATATGTTGTCGTTGATATATTTGTAGTGATCACAACTATAATTAGATTGTTGTGTGAAATTTAAATTTCTCCTGCGACATTTTGATTGGATACTAAATATAAACTTTGCTGTGGGTGGAATGCGATCGGATTAAGGATTGTGTCAGGCTATCATTTGTAAAATAGAGCCTGATCGAACGTTAGATAAGTGTATATTAATTGTCATAGCGTAATTGTAATTAATATATGTTAGTTAATTATCTTGTAAAATGTTATACTGTAGATTTCATCGTGTTTAAATAAAGTTTTTGATTGATTGATTGATTGATTGATTGATTGATTGATTGATTGATTGAGGTGACCTTGGCTCACCTTTAGCAGCATATTTTGTGAGATATTCAACACAAGGATAGTGATCAATAACAACTTGAATATCACAGTTAGCTCTCCATTCTTGCAGCTGAAGTTGTTGATGGTTATTTAACCTAGAGTCATTTCGTTTAGTCACAATCTTAGCTCGATAATGCACATTATCACCTGGAGTGTGAACTTTTTCAAATTCTAATTTTGTCTTGGGACAAATGTCAAAAGGGAAATGAAATCTACATTTCAACTCTGTTTCATTTGACTTCTTTCTAAGACAATAACTTGTACTACAACGAGTGTGTCGTTGAACCATGTTTAATAGATCTACATAATCTGATTTTTCATGTTTAGGAATGTCATTACGACTTCTTTGACATGGATGAACTTCGGGTCTTATCCACATGTCCTCATCTGGTGGAATTAGGATTAACGGTTGATAATAACCTATCCATATACTGACATACTGTGTCAGCTGGTTTTTGACCAGCTTCAATATCCTGGTCTAGTTCAGTTGTGTCAGAACAATAATTTTCGTCTTTAAATTTTTGAGCTAAGAAACCTTTCAAAGCAATTTGAGTAAGTTGACACAAACTCAGGTCCGTAGCGACCGGGGGGAGGGTGTGGGGGGGACCCCCCCCCAAATAATTGCGCGTGTGGGCAATTTCAGGTAAATCCAGGTAGATTAGAAGAAGAAATTAAGGTAAATGAACACAAATTCAGGTAATTTCTAGGCCTAGAGAAAGTTAATTTACAAAAATAATTGTGAATTTGGAAAAGATTGAGGTCAATTTACAAAAATTTTAGTAAATTTTTGGATTTTAGAAAAAAAATTAGGATAAATGGAGAAAATTGCTGATGTCCAGAAAAATTTTATTACGTCACGAAAAATTTTGGTATGTCCGGAAAAAATTTGATCCCTAAAATGGTACACTGACCGAGAGGGGAGGGGGGAGGTCGCCAAAAAAAATTTCAGGTAAAAAAATTTTTTTTAGGTAAATTTCGAACTTTTGATACTTTCAGTAGATTTAACGAAACATCCCCCTGAAGCGAGTCCCTCGAGACGCTCCTGCACAAGCCTGGGTCATTATTTAGTTTAGCAGTACCATGACAATGGATACTACCTCTATCTTCATATTCATATCTAAACCAGTGCCATTTTGCACCAAGTGTATAAATAAAGCCAGTGGTTTAAAAAACTTTCTAATGTGTGTGTGAAAAACCCATCAACAAGATGGGTATTATTAATAAGCTTTATTTGCAAGACCTAATTACAGGTATCGCTAAGCGTAATTGCTGCCGAAGGCAGCACACTATTCTTAACATGAAGTATTGCGTTTACGTGTGCCCAGGCTCTTTGGCCGAGTTATGTATAGCCGAACGAGAACACGATTTTGTGCATGTACGGATGTTTGTACGGATGACCAGATATATGACGTATTTTGACGTCAGAGAAATTTAAAAAATAACATACTCCAGATCGCGATTTGAGTTTCCGAATACTCTGGTTGCACCTCACGAACACTACCATGGACCATGACAAATTGGAAACATGTTACATGTTTGCCTTGACAGCCTCGTTGCCTGCTGTATATTTTGTAGCTGGCTTGACGCAAATTTTATGTCTGGTTGTTTATCGAAATATTTTTCAAGGTAAGATGATGAACGTTTGATGACAAATAACAATGTGTTTTGGTCGAAGTATTTTATTATTCAAATTATTAAATTTTTAAGCACAAGTCAGATAATTTTTCATTGGTATACAATTGTGTGTTAAAGTAGTGTTCCAATAGTACGATGTTCTGACAAGCTCCATCAGATTTTCTCTAAACTGACAATCGACGAGCTCCACTTGTTTTTATATGAAGACTTTTATGCACAAAGATAGTCCTATAGCAACACAGTGTGGATTGTTGTCTGCACATATTAATTTCATACCACCATTACATGTAATAGACGGTCTGTAAAAATATATCTCTGAGATATGTCCATTGTTAAGATAATATGAAATAATCCTACCAGCCTACATTTATATATTCACCTGGCTGTCATGCACTACTATATCAGTCAAATCCACGCATAACCCACCCCCAGGCTTTTGACAATTTTCGAAAATATGCGACAAATTCCCAGGGGCGGGGATAAAAAACGTGAAATTGCCCCGCAGCAGGGCAAAAGATCGGTAGCAAATCCCCCACCCCGGGTACACCTGGACTGTTTGGCTAAGAAGAGTAGGTTATCCAACCACCTGAAAGTAAAGAGAATACATTCTTCGATGTTTCGAGAGAATGCCCTCTGTTAATATATCAAGTATTGTGCATCATTGTGTAGCGTGTTTTGCTGTCGTCATGCTCTAGCGCATTCAGATTTTTAATGTTTGCGGCTTTTTGCGGCGTGGTTTAAATTCATGCGTTTTTAAACAACAACTTGGTTTATATTTTATGAATTTTCTGAAACTGGTATTGTTTTGTTTTATATTATATTATTATGAAGCTATTGGTGATCATAAAACCTCCAAATCATTAATTTCAAATCCCCCGTCCCCCGGGCAAAGGATTGAATTCAAATGCCCAACCCCCGGGGCGTGCTTTACAGGAAAATGTCCCGGGGGGGGGAAGGGCACGCTTGGATTTGACTGATGCTTATGACTGATGGTATACTATATTTTTTTATAATGCTCGCAATTACTTGTATTATATAGTTTTGCAGTTCTGATTTAGTACAATCTTAATCATCACAAATGAATGGTGTCATCAGAAGCTGACGTATGAAACAAAACTGTCAACAAATAGATTTTGTCTCCCTATCAAGCATCATCAGATTGTTCAGTTATTTTGCAGCCTTGAAGGTGCCATTATTGCATTAAAACGATGATTCGACAAAAACTGACTTAGTATTTCTATATATGAAATTGCTTTTTTAATTCTACATGTCCAATGATTTATTCAAGTATTATTATTGTTTATATGTAATATGAGTTTGTACAGTATTCAGTGGCAACTGGTCATGCCACGCCAATAAACCTACATCTATTTGAATAATGCAAATCATTAAAAGCTTGCATAGCATGACCTGTTGCTATGACTAGCTCCACTGACAGTGTTATAATTATCATGGCATACAAAAGCAAGAAGTTATAAGCATTGAATGTATTCATATACACTGTCCATGCCAAGAAAGTAGAATTACAATGTTTAGCTGACCTTCGACCTTGTGCAAGGTGTTTGATATTCAAATGGAACTTTTCCTACCTCCTAAACAAAAGCTAAAATGCTAGGCTAAACAAAAGTTCAAATGCTTGTTAACAGAACTCAAATATTGTGGAGAAGCTCTTGTAGTGCAAGAAGATTATTTACTATTGCTGCTTGAACAACCTTTTGTTTACAGTTAACTGTTATAATCTATCTCTAGAAAATGTTTTTTGCTGAATTGTGCACTGTGACTCATTGCAGTACATCGAAATCATCCCACCTCATATCTCGTCCTGACAAAGCTGGATCGTATAAGCAGCCCCTTATTCAGCAAATTGCGCATGCTGCCATCCCTTGGGGTGAGGCAGCACTTTCCTTGCGATAGTAACTTCTAGTAGTAAGTTTATAAATGTTAACTGGTGTATAAACTACTGTAACTAACTAAAAACAATATACTGCTATTTACATGTATAATATATCAAATATGAAGGATATTTAACAGTTATTCTACGAACTCGAGTCGAATATGAGCTGATAGCCGATGAGGTGCGTAGCGCCGAATCGGCTATTGCTCATATTCGACGAGAGTGAGTGGAATAACTGTTTTATTATATACACAAGGTTTGCATTCACAGACTTTGCTTTTCGGATATTTTCAATATTTTTCTACTTTGTTTATGTTTTTATCTTCGCTCTTTCGGCCGATTATTTCTTCAAAAATATATATTTTTAACCATTTAAAATTTTAAAAATTCATTTGCTGACCTGTAAACAATTTGTGGGAATTTTTTCATTGTGTTTTTAATCCTGTAGAGGCTACAAAAAGCGAACAACTTGCCGTTTTCTCGTTCGCAAAAATCGGAAATTCAGTTTGAGCCGCCATTTTGTTTTTCTCTACTACTAGGATATGAGCTAATATACTGCTAGTAGAGAACCAATCAGATTGCAGAATACCTCATATCCAGACCTTGTGTATATAATAAATCATCATATGACAGGACAAATATCAAAGTGTAAGAAAGGATTAGAAAGAGATTAATATAAAAAAGGGAAAGGAAAGTTATACAATATATAGAAACTTGTGACTTCTGGTTTAATTAAGGGTTTCGGGTTTAATTTAATTGTTTCGCAAATTCTCATATTTTTCACATTCAATTGAAAAATGAAATTCATCTTCAACTGCAATTTTATTGCAGTATTTACAGCAATTTTATTGAGTATTTTTCAAGGTACATCGCTATATCTACCGAACTCAATTTCTAGTTTATGATTACTTGTATACGAAATTTTGAGAACAGTCTTCTTCGATTGGGATCTTTTATTAATGATATTTAGATATTCTTCTAAGTTATAGACTAAGTGTTTTATAAATGTAGAATAGAATGACAATTTACTAGAGTTTTTAATTTGTTTTTTCCAAAATGATGTGTAGTTATCTTTAATGGTTTTTACAAAATCGTGTATGTTTGTATCCTGGACAAATTCTTCAATATCTATTGTATCTTCCATATCGGGATGAAACTTTTCTAATAATGCTTGCAGCATTATAATAGAATGAATAATTTTTTGCAGGGTTGCGTTTCATAAGGTCTGGGTTATTGATCAGATCGATTAATATGGGGAATTCTTCACTACCCCACTCTTTCATAAAGCGACCTTGTATTTGATTCTTCCTTTGTTGACCATAACATTGATACTGACTATATTTGTTTCGTTTTCTTGGGATCTCAGGGTGATTGTTACTTTGTCACATTTCGTGGCATCATTCGGGTTGTTTTCTTCTTCCCAGTGGGTTATTATTTTGCCGTCAAATTAAGGAAGCCATGTTTGTAGCGTAGATGCATTGCTTTGATCCATATGGGAAGTCTTTCTTCGGTAGAAGAAAAAGCTACGAGATTTGCATTTGGGTTGTAGATTGAGAAATCTAATTGCTCGAGAGGTACACGTTTCATATTCGTGGCTTTAAAGCTGTCAACTTGATAACGGCCAATGTCAAATTTGTCTTATTCGGCATTTGGGTCGATCGATGAAAATGGCTTTAGCGTGTTCAGCCATATTTCTTTAAAATTCGCTGGTTTTCGTATAAAATATATTATTTCGTCAGACTTTGATCGATGCGAAGCTTTCTTCTAACTTTTATCTAGTATATTTCAATAATACCTGGTCAATCTGTATCGATAACTTAGCAAATATTCATTCTATAAACGCAGACGCTACAACGCACGTGTTTACAAATCCGCCATCTTGGCTTGGGTATTGTTTATCACATTTTGTCTTCTTGCATCACTGGTAGAGTTACCTACCTCATTGTCAGTATCAGTTTAAATAAAGCATGTAACGTACTCAGGCCAATTCATATCTGCAGAGGAAAAAGTGAAAAATAATGTTGGTGCTCCAACACTAGTTATGATAGCTTCGAGTTCCTCTCTTACCCTATTCCAGTAAGCATTAGTACCTGCAATATTGCCGACATATCTCGACACTTTAGACATTAATACATTTGCATTGTTACTGGCAGCCATCTCACACAGTTCATCAGTTGTGAGATGAGCTTCACCTGGGTTCTGTTTGAGGAATATTCCACTTTGTTGTGAAATTCGTTTTCGTTGAATCATATTAGATGCCCAATATGAAAATCAGAGCTGGTTAGCAAAACGGTATATCCATTTAACATAAATAATCTCAGCAAATTTTAGAAGATGCTTTATTCGTTCCTGAAGAGGGACATCTATCAGAAGTCCTTGATTAGTAGGATCACCTTTCCCATCTGGAAATAAAGTTGGGAAAGCCATTCTGTCCAGATATGATACCTGATACTCATTTAATGGCTCATTTTCAACCGAGGGCCACGCCATTGGCTCATTTTCAGAAAGCTGATTTCAAACCGCTTTAATTTCCTGTTGTTGTTGTTGTTGTTGTTGTTGTTGTTCGCCAACAGGTAAAACTACTTATTTCAGTAGAGACATTATACACAATATCCTCTGATGGGTTATCAGTAGGAGGACCTGCATCAGGAGAACAATTGTCATCAAAGACTATATCATCATCAGTCTCAACAGTCATGAGATCTGGCGGTACACCATTCTCAGGTAATAAATTTAATGCTTCTTCATTAATTGTTAATTTAGAATAATGTGGATTATTACTGATAAGCCAAACTAAGGCGTTGTGCACTTTTTGCTTTCGGACTGTCACCTCTCTGAACATGTTATCTTTACCTTTTACTTTGAAAATAATGACAGCTAAGTCTTTGGCGTACCTTGGCAAAGATGTTGCAAGTTCTGTGACATTTTGTGGCAATTTAATACAATGCCCTGAATAACCTCTTTGGCCGCCAGATTTAATATAAACTCTCATGATAGGCAAAGCACGAGCAATTAACATTTCCACAATCTGAGTTAAATTCTGCAATTCATTTGAAGCAGATGAAGGTTTCATTGAATTTTTACAAGCAAACTTTTTAGGAGTTTTTTTTTATCTCTGGAGCATCGTGAACATGTGTAAGGTGTCCTTGGTTTAGACTTCAAGGGCCATGCCTCCTGACATACTGTGCACTGACTGATAATATATTGTTAACATTTATTGGATGAGGCTGAGCAGGATATCCAGAATTATTTAGAGCGAGGTCTGAATAATTCTGGTATCCTGCGCATGCGGAATTAAATAATTGTTTTATTATTCATTTTGTGACAAAAAGAAAACAAAACAAGCAACAATTGGAAAAAAAAATATTGATTGAGTTGATTAACTTTTCGTAAATTCGACTGAAAATTTCCCGCCAATTTGTATTTTCACATAAAATACCGCTGAAATATCCCTGGCGCCGTCCAATAATCTCTGCAGATTACTGTTTCCGCTGGATATAGCGCAGGCACCTACAAATACCCAAAATTATTTGTAGGCTCTTAGCAAATGAAAAACCGAGAGCACAGTACAATGAATAATAACACAGACTGATTAATGTTAGCCTTAGCCCAACATTGCTCTTCAGTACAACCATTTTCGGTGTTGTCAAACATATTTAAATAATCCTGTCGATTTATTTCATGTTGAGGTTGTGACACTTTTCTTGCCCGCTTTTGTTTTTTATAAAGTCTATCTTTCTCAAGTTTCAGTTGTCTGTTGGTGTCAGTTTCCTCTGAGCGCTTTCTTTTTTTAGACTCACTATCCTTTTGAAGTCTGATTTGTTGTTTACTGTCAGTTTCCTGTGACCACTTTATTTTTTTTTTGACTCACTGTCCTTTTGAAGTCTAATTTGTCGTTCACTGTTAGTTTCTTCTAAAGTCTCACTAGCTTTATGAAGTCTAGCTTGTCTGTCAATGTCAGTTTCCTCACACTGCTTTCTTTTTTTGTTGGAATCTATACATTTATATAATTGCACAGGAACAATTTCAAATAAATTTGTATGTAGTTTCAGGGAAACAGAACACAAATATTTCTCTAAACCAATAATATTAGCAAATTTCATGACAACAGCCGTGCCATTAGGGTTGGGCATGCCACTTAAGTCTCTAGCATGTGAATCAAATAAATAGGAAGAATCCATTCCATTTATCAGGGCCATCATATAACCCTCTAATATTAAAATAGCATAACTCTCATTCAAAAAAATATTTGTAATAACTGTATGAATATCATAGTAGTGAGACTCAATTTCTCGGACAGTTATAAATCCCATTTCTATTAACCGTGATGCCCGCGAGGAATGCTGGTCTTAGTAGTCATTGCCCGGGAAAATTAAACAATTCAAAATTGTCAATATCGAAATTTTCCAGGGCGATGACTACTAAGACCAGCATTCCTCGCGGGCATTAAGCCTTCTGACGTCATTATGCACGAGGTGTGTTAATGATCTTTTAACCAAGCGATGTTTTTGTCAACACGGACGTCACCCACAAATTGGTTTAACTAATCTTGGCGGTAGAGGTGTGCAAATTCGATCCGAATAATATCCGATCCGATCGGATTTCTGATCCAATATTTATTTCAGATCGGATTGATAAAGTTGTTTCGTTCTCGGATTGGACTTCGATATCCGAAATAAAATGAATTAATTATCCACGCATTATCGCAACAATTAATTATCCATTTCACTTATATCAAAGCATTGTCGCGGTTGTCGCTGCATTATTCGTTTGATTCTTCAATTGGACGTCACTTTGTCAGCTTCTTGACATGTATTTCTTGCTTTTATATTTATTTGGTTAAATATTTCAACTTGAATGAAAATTTATTTTATTAAAGCATTCTTCGGATCGGATTGGATTCTTTATCAAAACTCGGATCGGATCGAATTAGACAATTTCGGATCGGATTGGATTTTAAGAGGCAGTCTCTGTAAAAGCGGTCCACTGCATTTCGGATCAGGAAATAGTTTTCTCCCAAACTTTTACCGTGAAATAGCACATACCAGTGAGTTGTGAAACTTACTTTGGTTTTTCGATTTTCATAAAAATAATTTTTTTACAGCGCTTTAGTTCCAGGCGATCGTCTTCGCTGAATTTGCACTTTTCGTCAACTTACACATGCATATATTTAAAACATTACAGCATTATATTTAAAACATTATATTTAAAACATTATATGTAAATTACACATATATTTAAAACATTACAGCTCACGGAATATAGAACTCTGCACCAAGATCTTTTTTCCCAATCTTGTTCATTCATTCCAGTGCAAAATTCAAGCGAAATTCTGAATGTCGAAAGAAATGCGGGGGGAGGAAAAATACGCAATGATACTCGTTTTACGGCTTTCTTAAAATCACGACAAACTGACCTTCAGAAAATAGCTTTGATCTCCTAAGTCCAGCACTGAAAACCTAAAGCTTCTATACCAATCTACTAATCTAAGGATGTATAAAAAGGATTGATAAAAACATTTTGCGCTTTTTATTTAAATTCTGCACAACAACCTCGGACTTTCTGTGTTTTTGATGCAAAAATTGCATTTTAAATTTATTTAATTAGGCGGTAAATATGAAAGACTGTTTCTATTTGCTTCAATTTTATTGCATTCGGATCTAAAGCATTAAATATTTTCTTATTTTCAAATTTAAAGTTCAAGAAATTTATTACTAAGTGGTGCCGGACGGCTTTGCTAGCTGAAGTGTTTTATTGTTCGTGCAAAATACTTGACTGTTTATTATGCAAGCTTAATATTTTACCAAAATAGAATTTCAAAACAGCAATTCCATTTTTTTATTCATGAAGTTCTAGTTCGGATAAAACTTGTTAGAAGTATATATACAAACCAGACACAGTACTAAAATGCGGTGCCCGCCTACAAATAAAACTTCCGGGGTTTCAGCTATAGTAAAGTTATATTTAGTATGCTACATTTTCCTGCCGGCCGCCATGCAGTTGGTCCATGCATACACATTAGGACAAAAAACTGCGCTTTAAAACCTTCAAAATAAAATATTTTGGGCTCAAAATACCGCTATCAAAATGAAGAGAAAAGTGAGATGAATATACTGGTATATGGCCGAAAAGAGAAAACCAACGATACCAAAGTTATCAACTATCAAAGGTCAAACGTACTGCATTTTTAGTTAGTTTAATAATTTTGAGCGATTTGTCAACAATACTATTTCGCTTATTAAAACTGCACTTTAAAACCTTCAAAATAAAATAGTTCGGGCTCAAAATACTATCAAAATGAAGGGGAAAATGAGATGAATCCACTGGTATACGGCCGAAAACGAGAAAACCAACGATACGAAAGTTATCAAGAATCGAACGTACTGCATTTTTAATTAGTTTAGTAATTTTGAGCGTTTGTCGCCATGCAATGCAATCTCGCTTGACTTTCAACGGCCATAAATCGCTAGAATTCTTTTGTTTAGTAACACATTTGACATCCATAAGTACAATTTCGTACGCTGAATCGAATGGTGGTATAAAACCAGAGATAAGCCGCAGCAAAAAGTCTATCGTGAGAGTCCGAGATTAAAAATAGAAAAGAATTAAATCATTCCTCGAAAAAAGGAATTCGGAAAACGTGAAGGATTATTTTGAGCGGCTTTGGCTTGTCTTTAAAAGACCATAAATCGCTAGAATAGAAATCAATTTTGAAATCAATTTTCCATCCATAAATACAACTTTTCACTCTAATTCGAACAGTGGTATTGCTGTCCTTGTTTGGCCCATAAAACTAGAGATAAAGCCTAGCAAACAGTCGATCCTGAGAGTACAAGATAAATATTTAATTTTCCTGCAAAAATGAATAAATTTCGAGCACGTGCAAGGAATTTTTACTAGGCGATTAATTAAGCAAACGTATTGATGCTAACAAACGGACAAACTAACAAACAAACGGACAAACTCACAGGCAGAATATAATGCGGTGCCCAAAGTTTGGGCACCGCAATATATCCGATATTCTTATATCACTTAATTGACCGCAATATATCCCGCGATATTCTTATATCATTAAATCTGGTTTACATTGGTGAAATTGGTCGAAATCTCTTAGTACGTCTTAAGGAACACAAGACGAATTGCGACTAGAAAGCCGAGCAAGATAAATCTACTGTGGCTAAACATACTGTACTTGGACTTGCGACCATCGTATAAAATGGGACGAAGCAACCATTTTGGCGATTGATAGTCATAAGTTCTCTCGCAAAATGAGAGAGTCAACTGGGATCGAGAAGCACAATACTATAGATCAGGAGGGAAAGCCACTAGATAGTACGTGGCGTGCTCTCTTTAATGTGCAAAACTAATTTCTCTTGTCTTGGATGCGCGCGTTAATTGGAATCACTTCACTGCGTTTGAAATGAGGTGGTTGATGTGCCATTTAATTAAATTTCAAATGACGCAAGCCAAGAGATCACAACACTTTTGTGTATAAAAAGAGCGTGTGAATTAAACAAGTCACATATTATTAGCACTGATGAAGATTCGGCCGGGCTTACGGATCGAAAGCTTTGCAGTAATAAATTTACGTGGTGTTTCCACAAACAAAACTATTATCTTTTATCGCCATGCAAATATACAAAGAACTTATACAGTTCTAATTATTTTTATGTCTTAATATGTCATGTCAGGCTTTATAAATTAACAAAAAGCTAGTTCGAGGTTGCTGTGTAGAATATATTAAAAATATTAAAATAAAAGTGCAAAATGTTTTAAAAATTATAATATCACTTGCTGCCTTAAAGTGCCTATGCGACAATTTTTTTTATGATTGAATTGCAAAGTTCATTTAAAATTATAATATAACTTGTTTTTTAAAACTTTGTAATCTTTCCTATTTGTCAAGATTTTCGACTTTGTTTGATATACAAATGTGACTTAAATGACGTCACACTGCATAATGCTTTTACAGAAGACTGTGTTGTAGCTTGTTAAAATTCTCATTAACTCAAATTTACAGACGAAATGATCGCTTTGATAGCTCTTAAAGTATATCACTTTCAATGTCAGTGGAATTATTACATGTTTGGCAAGGAAACGTTTTCTTTCTAAAAACTCATTATGCAGTGTGACGTCATTCAAGTCACATTTGTATATCAAACAAAGTCGAAAATCTTGACATACAGGAGAGAATACAAAGTTTTAGAAACCAAGTTATATTATGATTTTACATGAACTTTGCAATTCATTCATAAAAAAAATTGTCGCATAGGCACTTTAAGCCTTAAAATATATATAAAGTCACGTTCAGTAAGATGTCGATTTCGTTGTGGTATATATATATGCACATGTCATGTGTTTTGGTTATTTTTCCTACGTTTAAGTCAATTAAGTGATATAAGAATATCGGATATTTTTGTATATACTTCCTGCAACAAGGTTTTATCCGAAATAGAACTTCATGAGTAAAAAAATGGAATTGCTGTTTTGAAATTCTATTTTGGTAAAATATTAAGCGTGCATAATAAACAGTCAAGTATTTTGCACGAACAATAAAACACTTCAGCTATAGCAAAGCCGGCCATCCGGCGCCATTTAGTAATAAATTTCTTGAACTTTAATATTTGAAAATAAGAAAATATTTAATACTTTAAATCCGAATGCAATATAAACAGTCTTTCATTACAGTTTATATTTACCGCCTAATTAAATATTAAATGTAATTTTGCATCAAAAACACAGAAAGTCCGAGGTTGTTGTGCAGAATTTAAATAAAAAGCGCAAAATGTTTTTATCAATCCTTTTTATACATCCTTAGATTAGTAGATTGGTATAGAAGCTTTAGGTTTTCAGTGCCGGACTTAGGAGATCAAAGCTATTTTCTGAGGGTCAGTTTGTCGTGATTTTAAGAAAGCCGTAAAACGAGTATAATTGCGTATTTTTTTCTCCCCCCGCATTTCTTTCGACATTCAAATTTTTGCTTGAATTTTGCACTTCAATAAATGAACAAGACTGGGAAAAAAGATCTTGTTGCAGAGTTCTATATACCGTGAGTTGTAATGTTTTAAATGTGTGTAATTTTCAATCGACGAAAAGTGCAAATTCAGCGAAGACGGTCACCTGGAACTAAAGCGCTGTAAAAAATTATTTTTTATGAAATTCGAAAAACCAAAGTTAGTTTCATAACTCACTGGTATGTGCCATTTCACGGTAAAATTTTGGGAGAAAACTATTTCCTGATCCGAAATGCAGTGGACCGCTTTTACAGAGACTGCCTCTTAAACATTAGCCAATTGTCGGATTTTAAACGTCCAATCCAATCCGATCGCATACATCTACTTGGCGTCATTTTGCATCCTAGCGCTCGTGTGGTAGCTAGGAAGAGGTTATTTCGCTGGGCTCAGGTGACAGAACGTAACAAAGCGACGGTTTTACTAATACTAACTCTTTTCCAAATACTAACTCTAAAGCAACCCTACTCCAACTTCGTTTCTCAACCAATCTTGAACTGAAAAGATTTGACGAGTTAACTGTGTCATTCTGAAGTCTGCGAACTAACCTTTCACCTCGTGTAAGGAAGCAAAAAACTTTAAAATCTGATGTTTTGTCACATGTGCTGATTTAGTTGAAGATTATTACAAACTGACACAAACATAGTTTTTATCCAACGGCATATTAGTAGGAAATCCAATTTATGCATGCTTGTGATTGAATACAGGGCAATCATTGTTTCAAAACTGGCAGGATGGAGATGTAAAAATATCTAAAGTTAATTACAAAGTCTTGAATTTTTAAATCCATGAAAATCATAACATTATAAGAAAACACAGACAAAATGCTCTTCCGAGGCAATATGCTTTTCTGGAGGAGCATGCCCTCGACCCCCCTTGGTTAAGCCTCTTACCCTCCCCCCCCCCCCACACACACACAAATAACAATTTGCTTTCAACGGCACTGGTCATAGAATCACTACAGGGGCGTAAAGCCTGTTTTCTACTAGCCGCTTTTGTTTCTGCACATCAAAGGATTTGAAACATCATGGAATTAGTTCGCTGAAGTAGGTCGGTGCTCATAAGCATAGTCTCAAAGTGCAAAGTAAGACTTGTGAATTTGCAGTACTCTTTATTTCAATTTCAATTTCTACAAACAATGAACTTATTATTATGTTACTGTTCATTAATTAATAACCTAAATAATACGTATGTATTTATTTATATAATGTTTTGAATAATTTCGGACACTTAGAGGCATCCTTTTCCACATGCTTGTTGTATCACAGCAGAAGCATTACATTTGGCTCCTTGACAATTTTTCTAATTGACAACAGCTGAAGGATCGTTACTTTCGAAACTACGTCGCCTGTTATCCGTGCATGTTGAGCAACCCTTTGCGTTGAATGAATACATGAAATACTTGTTGCTGTTTTTTACGTCGCATACATGCGGTTGATAAGGGTCACAACCCAAGTTTTTACAATATATCTTGCAATGAGTATAAGCTCTTCCGCAACAGTCACTGCATTTCTTACCCGAAATTTTGTAGTTGCATATAACTCGTACGTCTTTCGTTGACGACGCGCTTGTTGCCAAGACAACCACTGTTATTACAACAGCTATCAAGAGTTTCATTCCTGAGGTTTTCATCTAAAAGATACAAAAGTTTTGGTATAAGCATTGATGTAACCTGAATGTCATCGCGCATCCGCTTCTGCCCGATTATCCCTCAGGCTAGAATTTCAGGGCAGCAAATTAGAAGATCAGGTGCTCAGATTAAAATCACTACGACCTTTGTAGCCACTATTGATTTCAAGATTGATTATATAGGTGACGTCAGCAAATTGTATAATTAAGGTATAATGCTGGCTGTTTAACAGGTTCCGTATATCCTTGCTACGAGAGTTCATCGAATATTTTGAGTCGATACAATTAAAATAGTTCGAAAACATCTTATTGCTGATGTCAGCATTATTCTCAGAGGCTGAACACAAGTCAACTTATCACACCTTAAACAAAAATAAAAGCTGCCAAAGAGCTCAATTGTACTTTTTAAATAAACAACCAAACGCAAAACCAAATGCAAAGATAAGACTGTTTTCGCAGAAATTCACAAATAATCTACATTTATTTTGTTGGAGGTAAAGGCAAAGAGGTACATTAAAGTGCGATTATTTTGCCTTGATTGTGAACTAAACTGTGGATGTTTATAGTATTTCTTGCTTCAAAAGAAAACCTTCGCCTTGTGTATACGTTTTCTGGCAGGCAAACGTTTTTAAATATCTCGCAAGAGAACTTCGTGATTAATATGATACACATTGTAAAATTTCAATGGACAGCATATTCTTTTGTATATATAATTAAAGGTTTATGGGCAATGAAATTCAATTAAGTCTGTTCATACAGAAAGAACTCGTTAAAATAACTCATTTCACAACTTCTCTTTATCTCTTTCGTTCTTAGCTTGAGATATTCTAGGTTGTTCAATATACACATGAAACAAATCTATGACGCATCACAAGGTGGCAAAAGAGGGCCGTGGTGACCGGGGGTGAGTAGGGGGTGCAACACTGCGTAATCATTGCTCATGAGAAAATGCAGGTAGATTTCCATTAGATTTTTAGGTAAATTCAGGTAATTCCCAGAACATAAGAAAGTGAATTAGGAAAAAAGCTATATCTATAATTATAATAACTATATAGCGGAAAACACTTTTTGTATTTTCGTACGTAAAAAGGAAGATATCTCCGGAAAAAGTTTTGTATTTTCCTAAAACTTGTGATATGTGCGGAAAAACTCGTGGCAACGTCGACCCTGTGGTAAAATCATTAATAATTCATATTAGTAAATTAGCCAACCATATACCGGGTGGGGCAAAAAAAGTACGATAGTTTGATTTACTATGACATAAAAAGTAAAAGAGCTATTACACTTAAATAAGTCATCGTATATTCCAAGATTTTTAGCTTAAATTTTGATATATGTCTTGTACATTTTCATGCAATATTGACAAAGATAACTGTATTTAAACTTAAGCAAACATTTTTGGAATCGCAGAAAATTAGCTGAAAAGGCCATATGAAAACCTATTCAATAACCCTAACTATTTTCTCGCGATTATTGTTTTAATTAGTGGGTTGGCTGGACGAGGTCAGTTGTTCTAGGTCCTCACTTTGTTGAATGAAATCTCGACACGAGACAGTACCTCCAATTCGGATTGGGACAAGTCTATGTGCGATTCAGGTAACTCCGGTTCCGAAGCACAATTTAAGAGAGATTCGTGGAGCGATTGTTACAGAATACCGCAACTTGAAACAGCAAATGATCCAAAATTCTTTCGATTATATGATTTCACGGGCAAGACGTTGCATTCGTGCTGGAGGACATGCATTTACTGATGAATGTAGACGATTGTTTTTGAACCACAAGAGTGAACGTACTGACAATAAAGTATAATGCGTATTAACACAATTCATTGCATGTTGTATGTATTAATATTTAATAAGCCATTTTTAGCTAATTTCGTCAGTTCCAAAAATGTTCTGTTTAAATGCATGTATCGTTGACAATTAACAATTAGAGAACGAGGCCGAGTTGTGTATGAGCGAATAGTCAACGAGGCGAAGCCGAGTTGACTATTCGCTCATAGACAACGAGGCCGAGTTGTCTAATTGTTTTAGTATAAACTTTAACATTAATTTACAACTAGGTTGCAAACACAATACAAAAATACACAAAAAAACATTATAAAACCATTAAAGGTAAACAAATATTTTAGTTTTTGTTCGCGTAAAATGTTTTACAAAATTCAGTTTTAATTTTAAAATTTCATTGAGTGTATGTTAGTTTGTCTATTTTCTTACCCTTAAAAATTGCCATTCCATATTTTTGTTGCTTTTTTTCGGGGGTTTTTAGTACAGAATTGTTCATCAAGTCGTCCGAAAAATCATCAGACACTTCGGCAAAAGTGCGAAACGCGAATTTTCCGCCATTTTGAATTTTCTATTAGTAGGCTATCACTAATAGCCTACTAGTAGCGTAGCCAAAACAGAAGGCACGAAATGTGATAGCGTACTAGTAGGTTTATACTATATAATATGGCATGGCCATGGAACTGTGCATGGCATATATCAAAATCTAAGTTGGATATCGCTGAATGCCAATAAACTTCTTTTGGTGTCAATGCAATTTTAGTTTTGAATTTGCAGCAATTCAAACATTCGTACTTTTTTTTGCCCCAGCCGGTAGCTTTGTTTAATTTTGCTCACCCAATAATACTGGACACCTGGTGAAGTATATTGATCCAGGCCTAGGATTGGATCAAAATTAATACACCTCACTTTAACGGGCGATTTATTCGTGCGAGATGCTATTTCAAATCCTACTATGAGACCTGGACTAGCAGGGACCGCAGGACCTGGGGGCAATGGGGGTATATGCTCCCCTTCCCAATTTTTTTTAAAAGTGAAAAATGTGCCCTGTTTTCTTGGGCGAATCCCCCCTTTTAAACAACGAAAAAAGTATTTCTTGAATAAACGCCCTCTTTTGTTGGAAAGAAATTGCCCTTTTTCCCTCCATACTTTCAAAAATTTTATATTAAAGATGACAGTATACTAGCTAGTCCTGCCATAATCATAAATTCGTGATTGCGATACAATGGAAAACCTACAAGTTTAAAACAGGCTTAGTATGAACCAGCCAAACTATGGGCAAACTAATGCAGGATAAAAGTAACTCAACTTTTTTTCGCCCACCTCACTATTCTTCCCCCTAACATCAATCTCGAACTAACTTCAAGGTTCGTGCTGGTGTTGAAAAGTTAAATTCAAGGAGTTTTTAAGTAGTACTGAATAGCACTTTTCAAGGAGTGTTTAACATGTTTCTTTCAAGTAAAAAATTGTTGAAAACATGGAAAATCCCAGATCGAGGCCACGGTTTATTGACCAGTATAACTTCTCTACAAGATCTCATGTAGCTAGGATCAAAAGGAGATAAACTGAAAAATTGTAAAGTAACTTTTTAACAGTTTAAGAGTTCCTCCTATATATAACATTAACAGACTTCAATTACCCTCCTTAAGAACGATTAAGATTAGGTTAAATTCGATGAGTCACACTAAAATTTCTGAGAATATTAAATTTCCGCATTAAAAATGACTTGCGTACACGAATGAAAGGTTTATAAAACGTGATATTAATTTGAAATGTGTACGTTCTGTCCCATTTTTATATAGTGCCCATTTAATTAGCTTGTTATATTTTATTTTAATATTTAGTATACCGGTAATCTATAAATCAGTTCTCCTTCGAGTTCCTTCGTGTAATTACTTTAAAATATTTCAGTTTGAATTGTCAACTGAATCCATAACTATATAGAGCATATAAGAAAGTCTAGAGCGACAATTTACTATATTTCAAATCTGATATTGTAATTTGCAAAAGCTCTCTTTCTAACTTATACCATACGATCGATCGATCGAAAGAGTTTTGTTGCTGATAAATTACAATATCTGATTGCAGATCTGATTGCGTTGATTGCAACCTCGTACCCAGGCTATTTTCTCTTGTGCTCGGTGCACGGCCACCTGCTGAGAAAATACCCTGGTATTGTCTGGTCACGTGTCTCTCAGAATCTGAGAGGTAACAATGAATTTCTATTAGGGTGGGTAACTAAGTAGCGCTTTGTCATTGAGCAAGGAGTGAGCGAAGAAATAACGCAGAAATCATGCTGGAAATATTTACAAGATTGTATATTTTATTTGTCATGAATACTATCCAGTTACACAATAAGGAATATCAAATTTCATTGTGCGCAGAATGACGGTGAGCAAAGATAGATCAGATTTCAACAGACAAATTATGCTACACGGCTCGTCGAATAGATCACACGTTGTCGCAAACGTTATAAGAAAATATATTTCTACACCGTCCGATGTGGCTTTTATTTAGCTGTTCGATGTCTATTCTAAAGGATTTATTTAATACTGAGATGTGGAATTGTAACGAAATAGAGAGATCTTTTGATTTCTGAAATATCGCAAACTACAAACGGAACAAACCTTGCTTGTAAACAATGCTACTCGGACTGTATGTATTTAGACCACATGTATTTAGAGAATACAGACCACAAATTTGATAAATAGCTTTAATGGTGTCATTGATTTGTGTACTGTATTAATTTGTTGATCGATGTTTTATAAACTGTCAGTATACGCGAGAAATTTTTACTTTGTGGAATATAATACTGACTTTATATTATGCATGCTGGTGTGGGACACTGCATGTTATTCTGTTTAGATATCAATATAAGACATGTATAGTGTTAATTAGCCTACATATAGTTAGAGTTTAAATATGTGGCACTAGAGATAAACGGCCCCATTGCTTAATTCATGGAGGCAGAATTGGGGAAAAGGGCTAAAGGCAGCCGTGATTGTATATACCGCCTGAAATACGCATTTCCATGAGGCTGAGAATTTTTGTCCATTCATCTGAATTTTTATACTTTACTAGTACCTGCCAACCTCCTACCTATCTACAAGTTTTAAATATGATGAACTATTGAATTAAAAGTATTTTCACAGATAAATCATCGACAGTTTTAAAGTGAGCAATCAGTCTCTGTTTGGCAGTGTCATGTTTACATTGTAT